AACAAACTGGTGATGTGAGGTAGAAAGACGAGATAATGAAACAAAATTGGAAATGGGATGGAGGGTAGAATTGCGTTTACCTTTCCATAAGGCAATGGGTAGGTCAAGGTCTGAAGGTTCAGCAATAGGAGCCATGAGAGGATCCGCAGATGAGGTAGAAGCTGGAGGAGGGGCCGGTGTCGTTCGACGTGTATACACTTGTCGGATCGGTGGTCGTTCGGTGGTGACCTGCACTGGATGAGGTGATGAATCTACTCCAACAACAGCATCTAGAACCGGATCACTGACAGGAAGAGGAATAGGAAGTAAAGGTGGAGACGAAGGAGCTTCAGGACTTGAGAAGAAGGGTACAGACTCAAAAAAGGTGACATCAGGGCAGACATAGCACTTTCGGGTAATGGTATTATAACATTTGTACCCTTTTTGAGTCTGAGAGTATCCAAGGAAGACACATTTAATTAAGCGTGCATCTAGCTTGTCTATTCCAGGACTTAGATTTGGAGCAGTCATATTCCTCTAAGAATCTGTTTTTTTGTTTGGGAAGTGTGTCTGCAGAAAATAAACACTTGTGACCTTCTTCAAAAGAAAAGCCAGGGAAGGTCTTATATCTCTCCTTATGTATGTGTGCTTTGCCTAAGAGAAGGGGAATCAGCAGATCATCTACTCATTCATTGTAGTTTTTCTCAAACGATATGATGGCATTTCTTAAACCTGTTAGGCTACAGTTGGGTCTCTCCCAAACACATTCAGGAGTTCCTCAACTAGTGGTATGGGTCAGGATTGAGCAGAAGAGGTAAAGTGTATTGGCAAACTGTGGTTCATGCAGTCTTGTGGGGAATTTGGGAGGAAAGAAACAGGCGTATTTTTGAAAACAGATCTAGATCTCTAGAGGATCTAATCTCAGATATCTTCTTCTGTTGTAACTCATGGGCCGCTAACACTGAGATGTTTCAAGACCTATCCCTTAATGATCTTAACAGAAATATCCAATCGATCTTACTTCTCCCAAATCACCCTCAACCAACCAAAAGTCTTCAGCTTTCTCATATTGAAGCAGGGATGATTCTAAATTTTGATGGGAGTGCTGCAGGCAAACCGGGCAAAGCTGGGATAGGTGGAATTTTGAGGGATGAACAGGGACTGATTTGTTGGACGTTTAGTGGTCCATTAGGTATTACAGACTCAACAAAGGCTGAAGTGATGGCAGCCCTCACTGGTATCAGAATAATAAAAAACCTGGGCATTGAGAAAATATCCATAGTAGGAGACTCAGCTAATACCATCAAATGGCTGAAAGAGAAGGAGGGGGGCCCATGGAGGTTGAGTCATTATCTGTCAGAGGCAAGAGACTCCCTGGAACATTTGAATGTTAATCTGAAGTGGATCCCGAGGGAGATGAATCATATTGCAGATGGATTAGCTAAATTGGGAGCAAACCTAGAAAATTTATACAGCAAGAAGCTTCCCCCCTTGTAATTTTGTATTTCTGCTGTTTTCTCTTTTAGTACATCTGCTCATGTACTTCTTGTCTCTATCAATGAAATCTGGTTAACTTTTTCTCAAAAAAAAATGACTCAAGAGAAAGGCACTTCTATTCTCTCACAAACACTCTCTTCTTCTCTTCTCTTTTATCTGTATTATATTTCCGTTGATTTCTACCAGATGACAACAGAAGATCCGATTAATCTTGAATGACTCAAGAGAAAGGCAATTTATAATTTCAGATGACAACATCGGAAGGTTTAATGGGTTGTCCGTTGTTGTCATGTGGAATACAAGACTAGGGGTATACTCATCTTTTATCTTGTTTTGTGAAGTGATATAAATAATAGGAGGCTCATGCCTCACACTTCTCTTCTCTACTGAAACATGTGCTCTGCTATTTCTTTCTTCCTTTCCTCTTTTCACTCTTTTTTTATCTACATATTCAAATACTAATTCCCAAGAAAAATAAACAAGTTGGTATCAGAACACAAAGACTTGGATGATGGCATATCAAAGCAGAAAGTCCCCTCTTGCATATGCTCTCAGGTGAAACTCATGTAGTTTTAGGATCAGTAGAAGAGACTGATCAATTTATCTCTAAATCACTTGTGCAAGAAAAGCATGAAGGCCTTCTAGCACCTAAGGCACAAAGCACAAGAAGAGCTGTGTATCTGGATGAAGCAAGATACAAATAAAAAAATTAATTATGTTCATTCAACACCCAATCGTGAGTATTGTCCTACATCGACTAATTTTGAGAGTGAAGGTCCTATCTTCATCCATATAAGGATAGTTAACTCATGTGTCAATTTGTAAATATATATAATACATATATTAAATATTTCATATAAAATAAAACAAAACATATTAGTATATGCATTATATAATGTAAAAAATTTATTATATTTTATCTAATAAATAGTATATTATATAATATAAATATATTATGTACATGATATATATTTTTAAATAAATAATAAATATTGTGAACCAAGCCAAGATACAAAACCTAGGTCCAAGCCAAGAAATTTCCAGGATAGGTCAGGATGGGTTGGAAAATAATAACACCTAATGTAACCCAACCCATTGACACCCCTACTTTAGCGATTCTTCATTACCAACCATTTCAGCTAGATTTTTTTTTTATTGAAAATTTATTGTAATAAACAGAACAAAAGAAAACAAAACCACAACTTAGCTAGTGTTTTAAAAGCGCAAGGTGCAAAAAAAATGCAAGGGGCAATTTGCACCACAGGCGCAAGGTGCAAGGCGACGCACGCAACTTTTTGAAGCAAGGCACAAAATACAAAAAAAAAAGTTAAAAAATAAAAGAACGTCAGAAAATTCAAAAAATGCAAAAAAAAAATAATAAACATAATATTAATAAAAAATATAAACTTAAATTTAAAAATTTAAAAATAAAATCAAACATATAAAGTATTTTCAAGCATGTAAAACCTATAATCTCTTTTTTCCTCATTTGCATTACTTCAAGTAGCTAATGTGAGGTAAAATATATTGCATTCCTGATTCTACACCCCGCCTTTGTACCATGCCCCCCGAGGCAAGCCCAAACAAGTCCATGTTAGGGTCTTAAATTCTTAATTGTTACATAAAAAATAATGATTTTGTAACTTTAATTGCCTTTTAATGATTTTACAACAACCAGCCACTAGGTTCAAAAAAAGCAAAAAGATGTAAAATTTTAAAAAGGTACAAACCTAGGCACACCAGGCGTGTGCCTTTTGAAAGTGTTGTGCCTAGGACCTAGGCGAGGCGCATACCCTAAAATGTGCCTTGCCTGTGCGCCTAGGCGTGCCTTTTAAATCACTGAACCCAGCCACAGCAAGAAGCTTCACTATAGAAGAGAACGATTACATACTGCATATTACAAAAAAGAGAATCACAATTGTAAAATGAGCTATACAGGGTGCCACCAAAACACTGTTGTACCCATGAGTATATCTTGCTCCACACCTTCACAATTTAATCATCTGAGCTCCTACCGCAAAAAAAAAAAAAAATGTAGAGTTTCTTTAAACAAAAAATAATTCCAAAGCATTTTTTTGGAACACGTATAGGAGGGAAAAAACGTAAGTTTGATATCCACCAGGGAATATGGAAAGAAACTAAAGAGAAACAAAAGATTGTTGAAAAGGAAGCTCAAATTGTATCCCTCTGTTTTGGGCTGCTATCTCACCATCCTTTCACTTATTATACTCACTTTTTTATTTAACACTATTTTCTTTTCATTTACATAAAAAAGTAAGGGGTTTCTTCTAATGTAACAAAATACCAGGCAACCAAACAGTGGAAATACATAAAACATTGAGAGAAGGAATAGTAAATAGCAACCAAATATAAAGGACAATACTGGAAATAATCATGCATACATTTTTTACTTCCACTCACCTTTTGAAAGCCCACAGAGATAGCACCATCGTTTTCTGAGGCAGTGAGCTCTTGTTCAACCTTCTCAAGACCTTTGCTTACTGCTTGCATTTCTTCAGCTAAAGACTTCAGTTGGATCTAACCATTTTGATTAATACATTAGCTATTGGAAACAATCAACAGATACTAGGATCAACTAATTAACTTACAATAAGCAAAACAGGAAGATAAATTTCAACAATAGGAAAAATTAGCATACCTTTGATGCTACTTCCAAATGAACCAGGTCCTTATCAAAGTCCAACAACTCAGGCATTTTCTCACCAAGGAGCTAAAAATGACAGGCAATAAACAATTAATTCAAACTTACAAACTAAGATCCATGTGAAAAAATAGCAAATGTAGGAAGAATCAAAATAAGTTAGAAATATTTGATTGTATAGTAAAAATAAAAACAAGAAAACAAGAAGCATAATAGCTAAAAGGGATATAAAAAGATCAGATACCAGAAAACTCAAGGCAAACCAAGGTTCAAAGTATCGATACACCTCTGTGTATCAGTTCTTTCAACAGGTGCATTAGAACCCTGATACGATAAGATGTGCCCGATACAGGGCATATCGTATTGATATTTCATTATTTTGAACCTTGAAGCAAACAAGCAAAGGATCCAAAATATATTAAAATGAAAAAAGAAGATTCCAGAAAATTTAAAATAAATAGTGAGTATTTGATTTTATACTACAGAGAACAACCAGTAGCATAATACAAAAAGAAGTATTTAAATGACAAGTTGTTGAAGAACAAAAATATAGTTCATTTTTTTGGTATTAAATAAAAGAATTTATTAATACAAAAAGACTACATCCAAGAGGTGATAAAGATTCACCATAAATAAGATAACAAAAAATATATACATATAGAAGGCTTTCATGTCCCAACTTCTAGATCAAATACAGCCCAAAAATCACATCTGTAATCTTCCTTTGTTATCCCCTCAAATTCTAGTAGGACCAAAATCCACTCCCTAAATCTCTTTCCACTGAAGAAGACAATTTGTTCCCTACATTCTGACTGGTCCTCAGGTACTCTTTTTAATGATAGACAACACAAATTTATTAATATAAACAGGAATATATGTACATGAACAGCTCTCCGCAGGGAGGTAATGTTACCTCCCTCAAGTAAAAAAACAAAAATTACAACTGAGCCCAAAACAGATGTCCCCTATTTATCTCTTGCTTGGCCAAAGTATCAGCCAAGCCATTTGTCAACATGGGTACGCATTGAAATCTAATCATCATATTCCTGGCCAACCATTTAATTTGCTTTAATACATCTCTATAGCTCCACACTGCTGCTTTCTCATCTTTTAGCCACCCTATCAACACTTGAGAGTTCCCTTCAACAATTACTCTGCTTTTTCATCTTTTGCTTTTTCCCACTTATCCATCTTTTGCTTTTTCTTACCTGGAACCACCTCCCACGCCTGGAGGTCCTGGGTTGCCTGAGCTACTTCCATCAAAATTTAATATTATGTAATAGTCTTYAGGTGGWTCCTAATCTTTTTGTGCTTTACTCTTCCGTGAAATGGATAAAGCCACCTCCCTCCAATTCCTTCTAATATCATCATGGGAATATGACAAGAAAATATCCAATGATTATGCGTCTCAATGACTTTATGAGTGTTGATTGAGATGCATATAGCCATTGAGACGCATATAGTCCAACAATTTCTCTAAAATCACAACTTTCACAATTCCAATCAATGTATTTTACATGTAAATTATTCCAGATTCAACCTTGCACAAATAATGCATTAAAGTCATCTTATTGTTCCTTGCACGTGTGTCTGACAATTTGAGAAGACTGTCCAATTTGAATCCTATAGCAGATCCTGCAAAATAAAACAAGGAAATCTGTAACTGAGATTCACCATTTTGGCATTACAATCAAATATAAATTTTGTGTGGAACTGTCACCTCGTGCTGTGCCCTGATTTAATGCATTTCCTAGAGTGAGAATTGTCTGCATTATCTGGCGCAACTTCACAGACTCTTTTACCTACTATGAATTTTTTTTACATATTAGATGTAACTCATAGAAATAAGTGGATTTTCAGAAACTGAAAATCTAAATTTTGAAACATACCTCTCTAGCAGCACTGTTAATTATATTTAAGTTAGACCATAACTCCTTCACCTGATGAAATCGAGATTCTAAATAAATAAGTTGAATAAAAAAGTCGCCAAACAAAAGCACAGCAGCACACTCAAGAATATACCTGAGTAGAAAAGTTGATTCTAAATGAAAATACTCGTAACTTGGATTCTACTCGAGGAACTTTCATCAGCTCCAAGAAAAACTGGAATATTTGTTGACCAGAACATTCTTTAGCAACTAACAGATTTTAGGAGCACCCAAGTTTAACCCAATCAGTCAGTACAAACCTGTTCACACTTTCCAAGCATTTCCTTGTCCCCGGTATAATTCTGGAAAATATTAACAAGTCCAGGAAAAATAGAATGAAATATTAACTACAGTATATAATTAATTAGAAAATAATAAACATTCATATAAAACCAAAATCAATGCTTGAATTAACTTCTAGTAAATATGAAGAGCATGTAATTAAAGAGTATTACAGACAAGTTTAGAAATTAGAACTTCCATTCAATCATTTGATGAATCATTGTAGCCCTTATTTATTTGCACTAGTCATGGATCAGGAGGTCCAAGGTGTATGTTGTGCTGATAACATAGTACTAATTGAAAAGCCTATGAAGGATAAAATGCAAAAGAAGATTTTTTTAATACAATAAAAACATAAGGTTTTAAAGCAAGTAAAACTAAAACAAAATATATGCAATGTAAATTAAATAATAATACTAGTGGAAATCACGGTAGCTTAGTATTGGAGGCCAAGAGATCTCCCAATGTAATCACCTATGTTACCTGGATTGGATTTTATTTTTGAAGATAAACAAAAAAAAAGAAAATTCATTAGAAAGAAAGAAGAAATACAAACAGATGAGATTGGATAATCCATAAAAGGGAGATTGACAATTGTGTTTAGAGCAAGATGGGCAAAATGGAGGATACAATGATCACATGGATGTAGATATAAGGCCAGCGACGTTATTAGGGGGCAGAATTCTGGGTATCCAAGAAACAATACATCCAAATAATAACTGTAGCAGAAATGTAATTTTTGAGATGGATAAGTGGGAAAACAAGAAAAGAGAGGATCAAAATAAACTTACTCAAAGGAACCTACGAGTAGCTCCCATATGTCATAAAATGAGGGTAAGTGAACTAAAACAGTTTGAATGTGCACAGAAGACCATTTAGAGCACCAATAAAAAGTCATTTTTACGAGTTGAAGAGGCTAGAAGAACCAAGGGCAGACCAAAAAGGACATTGATTGAGTAGTAAGAAATGATGTAAAGGCCAATATTTATTGATGGATATGATACTGAACATAATGGAATGGCAAAACATGATTCATGCACCAACCCCATATTGTTGGGACTTTGAGAAAAGGCCTAGATGATGAAGATGACAATGATGTATAAAATCATGACTTAATATTTTAGTATGCTCTGGTTTCTTGCCTTCAGTTATTTTTGGTAGAATCAATCAGTGTTTTAAAAGGCATTGGAGGCGTACACCTCCACGCGAGGCGCTAAGAAAATGCCTGGAGGTGCAGCCTAGAAGCATACAGACACTTGAGGTATATGCCTCTGTTATGTCCCAGAAACTGGACACACAATTCTCAGACTCACAGCAGAATTCACACAACTAGAACATCAACAAAGGAACTGGTATTCATTCAGAAGAAAAGAAGAACATTAACAGTTGGTCGGTTCTTCGAGAGACCGCCGGCTCTCCCAATCACTCACAGTATTCTTCACTCAACAAAAAGCCTCCCCCCCCCATCCCCCAAAGCCCCTTCTTATACTCTTCTTACAGCATAACTGACTCCCTCAATAAATGCCCAGCTGGCCAAGTTATAAATGCCCACACTCTTCTTATTCCTAACTGACATAGCTATAAATGCCTCAGGACTCTCCTTATTCCCTCCAGCCATAATTGCCCCCATGTTCAATTATTTCCCCCCTTAGCCGAAAGCTGACCTTTCCCCTTCCTGGCATACGTAAAGTTAATTGGGGGCCTATCAGCCTCCAACATAGAGGTGTACACTTCCAGTGTAGAGGCATATGGGGTGTATGCCTCCATTACGCTTTATACAATAGGCTTATGCCTCTTATACTTCTGTATTAAATCCACTTTTTTATAATAAAATGCTATAGATAAAAGTAGGGTAAAGTGTGCTCAAAGTTGGACAGATTTCTGTTCTCGATGGACTGGGAAGAGATGTGGGCTGATTTGGAGTTCAAAGGTCTGCCTAGAATGAATTCTGACCATTGCCCTATAATTTTAGGGCAAGAGAGGTTTGCAGGAGGACCAACCCTGTTTAGATTTGATAATATGTGGCTAGAAGACCCCTGGGTTTTGGCAAAAATTAAGGAGTGGTGGGAGGAAAGTGGAATTTACGAAACAGAAAAGGGAGTGAGATTTGCCAAAAAGCTAAAGAGACTAAAAGAAAGAATACGGAGATCATTGGGAGATTGGAGGACAAGAAGGATTTGATCCACCGTATAATAAAGGAATTCGATGAGAAAGAGTCCTTGAGATCGCTAATAGAAGAGGAAAGGAAAGAAAGATGGGATTTAAAAGAGAAATCTGGGAGAACTTTGAAGACAAATACTGCAGTGTACGTGGCCTCTAGAAGCAGGTAGGAACATAAGATTTTTCCATTCTCTAGCAAATGAAAGAAGAAAGAAAAATCCTATCCATAGTGTGGAATTTGAAGGAGAAATCTTAACATGGGAAGAAGAAATTAAGAGCTTTTGTGAATTACTTCAAAGGCATCCTTGGAAGATATAAGGAGTAAAGAGATCTTTTGCCTGAGGTGGATTGGGTATTTGGGTTAGATTGCCTGTATCTCAAAAGGTGTTTCCGAAAGGTAGATTCACCTTGGAGGAGATAAAAGAAGTAGTTTTCTCAATGGACAATTCAAAAGCACTAGGCCTAGATGGTTTTACATTGGATTTCTACCAAAAATTCTGGGAAATAATCAAGTTTGACTTGTTGGAAGCATGGTTTTCAAAGCTAGACCAGACCGGATGGTCAGACCAGAAAACCCAAGAACCGGTCAGGTAACCCGTTCCGTTTCACCCTAAAACCGCTTTTTTGCCAAAAATCGTTTATTTGGTTAGCGACCCGCTGACCCAAGCAGTCAAACCATTGAATCGTCGACCCGAGCGGTCAAAAAACGGATGGTCGGACCGTTCAACCTGGGAACCGGTCCCTAGAATGGTTCCCTACCCAGGCCAGTTTTAAAAACCTTGGTTGGAAATCTTCAATGATATTTTTGCTAGAGGTGAAGTAAATCTGTGTGTAAATGCCACTTTTATTGTAGTAATCCCTAAAAAGAAAGAATCCTTGCACCCAAAGGATTTTAGACCAATAAGTCTGATGGGAAGCCTTTATAAATCATAGCAAAGGTCCTCTGAAAGAGATTGAGCAAGGTGTTGCCTTGTGCGATTTCACAAAACCAAGGAGCTTTTGTTTGGGGGAGAGAAATAGACCAAATTCTAATCGCAAATGAATGTGTAGAGGAAAAAAAGAAAAAAGGGGAAAAAGGTATAATTTGCAAACTAGACTTGGAAAAAGCTTATGATTTTGTGAACTAGGAGTTCCTTCAAGAGACTTTGGAGAAAATGGGATTTGGAGATACATGGAGGAAATGGATTACAGGATGTGTCAACTCGTGTCATTACTCTATCCTAATTAACAAAGTCTCAAGGGATTCTTTCTAGCTAAGAGGGGTTTGAGCCAAGGGGACCATTTCTCTCCTTTGCTTTTCATTGTAGTGGCTAATGCACTAAGCAAAGTGATCATAAAAGAGGGTGGAGAGTGGGGAGATAGAAAGTAGTTGTGACCCTTTACTTTTTACAAATGATATCAGCATTTTATGTGATGAAGGAAATGAGTTTTAGTGGAGGAATTTAAAAGAGATTATTTTTGACTTTGAGAGATCTTCCGATTTCAGATTAAACTTGGGGACAACCTTTTCTGCTTGGATAAATTTACAAGAGGGAGAATTAGAAGTTTTTGATGATAGATTAGGGCATCAATTATCTCCTTGGTCCTTAGTCTACTTAGGTTTACCATTAGGTGGGAACCCAACATCTATTAATTTTTTGAACCTGATCCTGGAGAAATTTGCAAAAAAGATGGCATTATGGAAAAGAAATTATAATTCTTTGGGGGGAAGGAATCTCTTTTTTCTCAATTGCATAGTAGCTAATATGACATATTACATTCCTAATTCTACGAGCCGCCTTCGAGAACCCCCTATTTGGTAATGTTGTCCATTCATTCATCCTAATAAAATATCTTCATAAAAGCAATTAAAACTATAAAATAAAATATCATATAAAATATAGAAGGGTTGCCAAAACCCAACCAATTCAAAATTGGGTCAAGTTGAACCCAATTTTCACCAACCAATTTCTGGAGAAGCCCAGTCAAACCCAGCCCAAAATTAGAGCCTATTTGGGAGGGCTTCAGTTTTGATTGAGTTGTGTGGACTGAGAAGCTTTGAAGAAGCTACTAACTAGTTTCATTGGAAAGTTGATTTACTAGATTCACTAAAGGATATTCTGTCTTTCTGTGTTTTCCACCAAACATAGCTTCTAGGCTTTCCATGTGGCTCAACCCACACCAAGTTGCATATACAAGAAGCTTATATGCACACTCTTGGCTTTTATCACAAAATAAAATATATTGAATTAAAAGAAAAGATGAATTCAAGCCAAAGCCCATGTCAACGAAAACTAATCAACAGGAGTGACTTAAAAGAACCAAGTTGGCTCAGACCACCACCATAATAGCTGCCATACAAGCCCATGTCAGAGTCAACTCAAGAGTTCAGAAAGAGAGAAAGAAAGAGAACAGATTTGGTGGTTGTGACACCTTGTGTCAGTCGACACCCTTAGTGTACAAAAGAAAGAGAGTACAAAGAATAGGTATACAACAAAGAAAAGTAGAAGTACAAAAATAGCCCTACGGCTAGATCTCATTGTCTCTACACTCCCCCTCAAACCGATGGCTAGGAATAAGCATCAGTTTGTCCATGAGAAATAGATGTCGAACCCAAGTCATTGCTTTAGTCAAAAGGTCTTCTAGTTGGAGCCCAGAGGAGACATGAGGAAGAGATATAGTACCCTCAAGAAGGAGATTGCGGATGAAGTGGCAATCAACTTCTATGTCTTTGGTACGCTCATGGAAGACGAGGTTGGAAGCAATTTTAATTGCACTGATATTGTCTGCATAGAGAGGAACAGACGATGATGGCTCATTAAGTATTTCAAATAGAAGAGCCCGAAGCCATATGATCTCACTACAAACAGAGGACATAGCCCTGTATTCAGCTTCAATGGAAGATTTGGACATAGTAGCTTGTTTCTTGCACTTCCATGAGATAAGAGAGTTGCCTAAGAATACACACCAGCCAATAGTGGACCATCAGGTGTCAGGGCATCCAACCCAATCAGCATCTGCATAAGCCATAAGATTAATAGGGGATGAGGAAGAGAAGATTATCCCGTGTGACAAGGTGCCTCGCACATATCTAATTATCCGTGTGACAGGGTGCCTCACTAAGTAACTGTTGTAGCCTAGCAATTTCTTCTGTGTCATCCCCTGTAATGAGTATATCATCGACATAAAGGAGTAATATCGTTACTCCCTGCTTCCGCCTTAAGATGAATAAAGAATAATCAAGACTCTGGATAAAGAGAGCATAAGTGATGACAGATCTGAACTTCTCAAACCAGGCCTAGGAGCTTGTTTCATGCCTAAAGTGACTTCTTCAAACAAAAAACAAGCTGCGGGTCTGTACAATATCCTGGAGGAAGCATCATATAAACTGTCTCTTTCAAATCCCCATGGAGAAAAGCATTCTTGACATCCATCTGATGTATTGTCCACTATTTGATTGCAAATATAGCCATCAAAAGTTGTACAGCGGTCATTTTGGCTACAAGAGCAAAGGTCTCCTCATAGTCTATCCCATATTCCTGTTTGTATCCTTGTGCAACCAGCCTAGCTTTGTATCTGTCTAGGCTTCCATCAGATTTTAGTTTCACAGAGTAGATCCATCAACTTCCTATAAGAGATGTCTCAGGTGGAGCTTTGACCAGGTCCCAGGTGTCATTCTCAATAAGGGTTTGAATCTCAGAGTCCATGGAATCTTTTCAGTGTGGTTCTGCTACAACCTACTGGTAAGATCTAGGAATGTTTTTGGTAGATACAACAGTGGAAAAGGAGCTATGGTCTAGTGAAAAACCATAACGGTTAGGTGGGCGAGAAATTCTAGAGGAACGACATAAAATGGAAGCAGTGGGTTCAGGAGGAAGGTCAAGTACACTTATTGAGGCAGCTGGAGTGACTAGATCAGCAACTAGAGGCAAAGCAGGGGGGATGGAGACTGAAGAAGGTCGTTGCTTCTTGAAGTAGGTTTGAAGTTGTTGCGGAGGTGAAAATGAAATATCTAAGGTACCTGTAGAATCAAAACTGTGCAACAAGGAAATAGGAGTTGGGAATTTTACAATATGTTCAAAAAAGGATACACTTTCAAGAAAAACTACATTACGAGAAATTCTAAGCCGACGAACCGAAGGATCATAGCAAAGGAACCTTTTAAGATCAGAACTATACCCCATAAAGGCACACAAAGTTGCTTGTGTGGTTAACTTTGTGCATTCATGAGGTGGAAGGTGGACAAAACAAGCACAACCAAAAACCCTGAGCATGGAAAGGTCTCGGGGTTTGTGAAAGAGAGATTGAAAAGGAGAAGAGTTATTCAAAACAGATGATGGAAGACAATTTATGAGATACACAGCAATGTTTGCCGCCACCACCCAAAACCAAGAGGGTACATGGGAATCCTATAAAAGAGTTCTGACTACACTCAAGATATGCCTATTCTTCCTTTTTGATACCCCGTTTTGTTGTGGGGTGCCTGGATAGGATTTTTGGGGTTAAATTCCATGTTGTTTCAAGTAATTTTGGAAATCCCCATCAATAAACTCTCCCTCTAAATCTAATCATAGCGCATAGATTCAAGCATCAAATTGGTTAGTAACATAGGTGTGGAAGTGTTTAAATACAGTGTACACTTCAGATTTCTTTCGAAGAAAATAAGCCCAACTGAAATGAGTGCAGTCATCAATAAAGGTTACAAAGTACGTATCCCAGTCGTGAGACAACTGGAGACGACCAAACATCACTGTTTTAAATAAAAAGGAACTGATGCATGCATAGAATGAGAAGGAAAAGGTAAAATATGACTCTTACATAAACCACAAGTGATGCAATCTTTATTCACATTCTTGAAGGAAACAGTAGAAACAGGTAAACTACTAGAAGCAAATAACTGATCAAGTTTCTTAGAAAATGGATGGCCAAGGCATTTATGCCATAAATGTCAATCATTATTACAGTTAAAAGATCCAGAGCTAGAAGTAGTAAAAAGCAAATACGACGTAGAATCAGTAGTCTTATTATTCTCAAATTCCAAAGCAAATAGTCTACACCCCTTCCTCTTCACCTCCCCAATTTGCCGCTCCTGTATCAAACAATCATCAAAAGTGAATTTGACATTGTTATCTTCCTCTACAAGTTGGCCAACATAAATCAAATTGGTGGTAAGCTTAGATACAAATAAAGTTTTGGATAAATGAAACGGAGATGATTTAGTAGTAGATAAATACAAATCATCACAGCCAAGTATGTCCAGTTTTTTACCATTTGTAGTGATAATATGTCTATTGGGAAGATGGGGTTTAGGATACTGATTGAGAGTGGCCCCCATCATATGGTTAGAGGCTCTTGAGTCAATATACCAGAGCTGGTTCGGTGAAGGGCAATAGGTCGGTGACTTACCAGACAGGCCAATAGCAAAGAAGACTAAAGAGATGACCGAGGACATGAGCTGTCGAATCCGTTCTTCAGACATGCCGTCGGAGGTGTAGTTTTGACTTTGACCAACTACAGAAGTAATAGAGGAGGCATCTAAACCATCTATAGCAATCTGATAGGCCTTGTAGTTTCCTTTCTTCTGATTTGATCCACTACCTTTCTGAAGTCGGGTAGGGCATTCAGTGATAATGTGGCCGACCTACTTGCAATAGGTGCATGTGTTCTTATTATTACAATGGGAGACAATGTGCCCATACTCCTTACATTCATAACACTATATCTTAGAGAAATCCTTCTTCCCTTTTGGTTTAGTTTCCAGGAAGACGGCGTCAATGTTGGAATCTTTCCTGCCATCCAATGCAGTCTGTGTAGTCAATTTGGTTTCTGCTCCAAAATCTCTCCAAGGATATTAGATCGTACAAGTTCAAACTCAGGCCTTAGATGCATTAGGAAATGCATAATTTTCCTCCTGTCAACGTGTTCCTTCATGTACTTCACGCAACGTCTGAAGGATCCTTTCCCATGTGAACTAACTCATATTCTGTCCAAAGGTTGATGAATCCGGCATAATATTCCTAGACTTTCCTGTTTCCCTGATAATATGAGAAGATGTCAACCTCTATCTGATACTGTCTAGAGGTGTTCGATTGTTGATAAACTTTCTCAAGATATTAATACATCTAATAGGTTGTCAACTTGTCATGTACCCTCTCATAGGGATAACAATATCAGTTTCGACTGAACCTAGAATCCACAATGCAATTTTTGCGTTGTCACTGATTAAGTCCCTTAATGTCAGAGTCATCAGGTTTAGATACAGATCCATTTAAATATCCTCAAAGACCCTTTGCTTCGACATGGAACTGAAAGTTGAACTTCCATAATGCGTAGTTCGTACCATTGAACCTAATAGGAACAACTTCCATCCTTTATGATGCCATTGGAAGACAAAAGGCAACAATACACACTTCCAAAAACCAAAAAGATTTGAACCAGAGAAAGAAAAGGAGAATACCTTTCAGTTGATGTCCAAAAAAGGCAATTGTATAGTTCTGTCGAACTGAAGAGTGGATCAAAAACCCTCAAAAACAAAACCGATCCAAACCAAACCAAAGAGATTCAATAGATCTGCTTTGGGCGACATCAGATCTAAAATTTCAGGCTGATTCGATGTCTCTACAAAGAAATCTAAGGAAAAAGGTGAATTCGATGGTGCAGCAGTCCAAGAAAAAGATCTGTAGCCAATTTAGGAAGAAGATTAAAAGACACTCAAGAACTTCTCAAATACTATTAGAGAGTTCTTGAACCAGTAGTGGCCAAGATGTTCAACGAGGTGTTATGTGAATATCAGGTCATGACCTGCTCTGATACCATGATAGAGTCAAGTCGAGAGTTTAGAAAGAGAGAAAGAAAGAGACAACAGATTTGATGGGTGTGACAACTTGTGTCAATCGACACCCTAAAAGATATATTTGCAATAAAAAGGTAAAAGGACAAATCTGCCCTTAGTGTACAAAAGAAAGTACAAAGAAAAGTAAAAGTACAAAAATAGCCCTGCGGCTAGATCTCACTGTCTCTATAGCTCAATCTACAAAATACTCATGTTATGCAAAAAGGTCAAAATCATAAAATTACAAAGACAAATGAGCCATTGATAAGAAAGTCCTTTCTAAGCAATTCCTAAAACAGATTTCAACAAGAAAAAAATTTAAAATAACACTAAATAAGGCATTAAATACTAACAATCCAAAAATAGCATACCTTCAGCATTTCCATTTCTTCTTTTGTAGGACAAAATTTGATTAGATTCTCAACCTGATCAATGTCTAGAATAGATGAATCCAAAGCCAAAACTGCATTCTGGTGATTAAACATGAACAAAGCAAATTATGCAACCATCAAGCCATAAGAAAAAAAAAATATCTATGACAAACTTAAATTCCCATGATAATAAAACAAGTGAACACCTTGGTAAATAAAGTAAATAGAGAAACTTGTGCAATCAAATGCTCAATGCCACTACCAGATTTACACCTTGGTAAATAAAGTAAATAGAGAAACTAGGTAAATAATATATTGCTTGTATGTAAAAATGCATGCATAGCCTATATGCAAAAAATATTATGTGAAACCCAGTTGCATATGATGATGATCCATGACATTAAGAAAAGATTCAAAGCCACAAAATGTAGACAAAATAAGAAACCTAAACATATCCATCATTTTTAAGAAAACAATAAGTAATTGTACCAATAAATTCTTAGAAACTCTTATGGTGCAATGAAGAGATTCAAAAGGCCACAAGGATAAAATGATCCTATACAGAACTACCAAGATGCTAAAAAGAAACTAATATGACGAAGGATGAGGAAACCAAAGAAAGGTTTGAGGACCTAGTTTCAAAACACCATTAAATGAAGAATACAAGGTTCAAATATGAAAGGGCATGTTCATTTTCAAGAGTCTAGAATTTCTGAATAATTAGGTTTTATGAGATTTAGAAGGTCTAAGTGAATGGTTCTAGGAAGCAATGGAATTCTAATATAAGCTTGGAATACTATGGGAGGTAGGATTATCATATTTTCAATAATAAAAAGCATGTTGTTCATAGTGCCTTGAATTCAAAGGAATGCACATAAATCTTGTATACAAAAGAACGAAGGAATACACATACATCCATTTGGTTAATTTCCTATTTGGAAACCAAAACTATTATTTTGGGTATTCTTGTGAGACGAGGAAGTTGTTATGGTACATTATAAATACAAGTTTTGGACTATTTTTCAATAAAAGACTTCAGTCCACTGTAGGAGTTTCTTCACTGGTTCCCTATTCACAGTTAGTTGTTCTACACAATTTCCAACCTGTATTTTGGTTTTTTGTTTTTTGGAGTATGGGTCCTTTTCTGACATGGACTAAAGAATAAGCCTTTTGAGAATGTTAGAAGCATTATGTTTATAGTGTCTAGTAGTAGGCAATAGAGCAGTTGTGTCATTTAACTCCAAAATCATAAAAAGAGGGCAGTCTCTTCACTTAGAAGTAGGATGCAGGTAGAAACTGATTTTCTCTCCTATTCTAGTTTTCTATCCTCTCCTCTTTTGTTCTTTTACTACTCAATTTTTATCCATCTAATAGAGATTACAGATCACAAAACAAGATATCAGAGGTCTGAACAAGATTGAAAGAGAGACACATCGTATGGTGATTGCAAGTTCAAAAATTCCAGAACTCAACGAAGTTTCAACAGGTCAATTGAAGGAAAATGACCACAGCATCGTATCTGACTTGAAGTACAATTTGTTAATGAATGGTTTAAGTAATGCGCTTGTTTTAACAGTTGAGATGTTACAGGGTTGCTGTATGCAGCCTTGTTTTAACAGTTATCTGGCTTCAGAAGGCTCTAAGCAGAAGGTATGTGGGGGAAGTTTGATGGAGAGAGAGAAAAAAAAAACACATTGGGACACATTACGAATGTATAGCAAGGAGAGGGGGCATTAACTAAGGGGAAGAAGTTAATCAATTGTTTGGATGATAATATTGAGGAAGAAAGGGGGAAAGGAAGAAATTAAAAAGTGGTAATATCATAAACAATGGTTCATTAGGCAAAGAGGTGGGTAAAGAAAGAAGAGTAGGAAATAAGAAAAATAAACAGGGTGCTTCTTGTTCCAGAGTTTGCAACAGAAAAAGGAACTATTGAACAAGGACCATAATAGATAAGGAAGGGCAACAGGTGGCACAAGAAAGCAAACAATTATCCCTGCCTACTAATAAGAAACCTGTCATACACTGACAAAATCTTCGATCACCAACACTCACCAACTGAAGCTCAACTACAATATCCAGCTTCTTCCACAGCAAAAGTCAGAGACTCGCTAACTTTCTTCAACTTTTTTCGAAGGCTCCATCCCAAACACCCTACCTTCCAACCTGGAAAAGGCATTCGAAACAGGAATAGCATGCTGATTTTTATGCCTTTTAAATCACTTCACTAAATTAATACTCTTCTTACAACCCTTCACTTCTTCAGGCCTCTTGTTAATCCTTTCCAACTCTAGAACTGCATTTTTCTCAAATGTCTTAAACTCAACTCCCCTTCTTTCAACTTTCTCACCCACCCTTCAGCAACCCCAAAACTACCTTGAGACTCCTCCCTTGCAAAAACACTAACCCCATTATGGACCCTCTTCTCCATTTCCTTATCCCTCTCCAACTCTTTGAACACCTTTCTTGCAGCCTCTTCTCCACCCCCGAAAAACAATCCCAACATCTTACTCACCTCAACCTCTCTGTTCGTGAATGTTACCAAATTAATTGTATGTGTTTCATTTCATCCAACCCTATCTCCTCGTCCTGGTCAAAAACCTCCTCTATACCCTATTCCTACACATCAGAATCCTCTAGAGGTCTTGTACTTGAAGCCTATGAGGCATATACCTCATGTAAAAGGCGTTCAAGTTGTACACCTCATGCACCTGATGCATACACCTTAGAGGAATCATAAATCATGCCTCCAGCATGCACCTCAGGACATTTTGAGAATGCCTCACCTAGAGGCACGCCTCCAGGCATATGCCTCTCACACCTTTTAAAACATTAGACTTCAAATTAATGTGTAAAGGACCCACAACCTCACCAATAATCTTGTAAACAAATAGTGACAGAATAGACTTCAAGTTACAATATGTACTCCAAACTTAGGAAATCAATCAATGAACAATGTGATGCAAAATTAAAACACTACAACTACAACTGAATGCTTGGATATAGTTCAATTCAACATTCGGCACTAAATGCACAAAGCTGAAGAAATGAATCATCCCCAAGAGTTCATGCATGCATACATCATTATAAGCCAATGATTCAGCTTCATGGTAAACAATAAAAAAGTGCAAGCAACTAATTTGACCCCACTATTCTTAAATGCCTAATGTACACATCCATGCAACAAACCTAGAAAATAAACACAGGCAACTAATTGCATTAAAAGTTCATTGTTCTACAAAATTGAACAGTGGAGATATTTGATGACATTCACATAGAGACTTTGCTGAACAACTAGAAAGAAGTGGCAGCATCATCTCCAAGTACAAGTGTTGTTCATCCACTACGGACTCCGCGATGTGCAGGTTTTATCAAGTTAAACTTTGACGGCAGCAGTGAAGGTAGCCCTGTGCCATCAGGGATTGGTGGAGCTATTGGACGGGGAAGGTTCAATCATAGCTCTATTTTCAGGCACAATTGGTGTCAGGGATTCATTGCAAGCTGAAATTATGGCTTTGGTTCAGGGTGTAAAAAGGGCTAAGGAACTAAATGTCAACAAATTGATCATTGAAGGAGAGTCCAAACTGGTAATAGGATGATAAGGGAAGGAGGGTGATGGCATGTGGGCATGCATTAATGAACGAAGACACTTCAAGTGGCTGCCTCAGGGTATGGAGGTGAGATTGTAGTGGATAAAAAGATGTGCTAATTGTTCTGCAGATGCACTTGCCAAACAAGGGGTGGGAAGAAATCAGTTGCTTTGGGCTACATTGTAATTTTTTTCTTCTTTGGGGGAGAGTTAAGAGAGTTAACCTCCCACCAACTTTGTACTTGATTCTTATCTTTTAATGAAATGCTTCTGTTATTGATCCAAAAAAAAAGAAATGAAGGAAAGATAAACTTACTATCATATCCGGAAGAGGCATTTTTATTTTTGTAAGCATTATTTCACAGTTATTTGCTCTCCGTAACTCAATCTGACAAGAAATAACACAAAAAGAAAAAGAATTATGTTGAGCCACAAATAAATTTGAGGTTTTATCATGGTTCAGTAAATGCATTCTAGAATATCTTCTTAGTCCATTCTGAAACATAAAATAAAATGTGCAGAACCAGATTATTCAAAGTGTTATAACAACAGTTGGGAAACCCCAACAATTAAAATGGGTTTCTTCCAATGAAATTAATGCTATCAATGAATCAGGCTGAATCAGAATAAACCCAGCTCCAACTCAATAAGTAAATATGCAGAACCAGATCTGGGCCACACTTCATAGGTCTGTGTAATTGAGACTATCAGGCCTGACCCAATAAGACCTGATTATATATGAAAGCTATACCTTTAAGCTGTAATTTGACAAACCTACTTATTTATTTGTTAAATTAATACATTTCAACATCACAAGTATATCATGAGCACAAATAGTTTTTTCTCTTTTTTCATTTTGTGAAAGAGAAAAATAGGTACTAGACTGGGAGAATCTTTGTAGCATGCCAATATAAATACATATAAAATTATACTACAACAATGTATGAAGTTCAGAACAACCAAAATTGACTCTGACACAATTTTAATCAGGATATTAGTGCAGACACCAGACCCTATTGAGAGCATTTATTCTAGGTGACATACTCTCAAATGGTGTTTGATAACACTTTTCAGACGTCTGAGTCTGAAAACTTTTCTTTTCAGATGCCACTGGTGTTTGGGTTAAGGTCTGATTAGAGGATCTGAAACAGATTCAGATCGGAATTGATAAGACCTGGTTTCATGCAATCCTCCTTTCTCCGGGCTTGGAACCAGCAGTGTAAGACAAGCTCACACTGGCAAAGTTACATATCCAAGAAGTATGACTACAAGAAACCAATTATAGTATTTTTTTTTTTTGGTAGTAAACATAAAAGAGAATTTCATTAAAACAAAAAGGTAAGGCTACATAGAAATTGGAAATAAAGAAAATAAGCAAGTCAGTTACCAATTGCACTTTCTCTGGCTTGTTAATGTTGGAACCACGCCGAACTCCACCCCCTGTTCCACTCCCATCAGAAACAACAGCTGCTGAAAATAGGGTTTCAAGCTCTGAAATATCGATTTCAGGAGCCCTGATAAAAACCAGAAAAATGTCATTTGAAAGATATCAAAAGGAGAGAAGATACAGAGCATAAACAAACATTAGGAAAAGCAACATTGTTTACACATGGAGCCTTCCCACTGTACAGCATGAATGACTTGCACAGCTGATGAAGAAAAAAAAAACATGAAGTACTTACACATTGCACACAGTATCATCATCACCTAAGTCCAGTTGCCCATGTTGAAGAATTACAACTACATCAAGCTAAGGCCCATTCAAAATTAACAAACGTTTAACCCAACCAGACCCAAGTTACACCACTGTCAAAAAACCATCTGATCAAAACATATTCCATAGAATCTGATGACCCATTTGGACAAGAAAAAATGGTCTGGGACAATATAAAAGAAGTATCTAGAATGGAATCAGAAGCAGACATGCTTCTTACATCTCTCTATTTTCATAGGAATTCATCATAAACTGATGAATTAACTATACAAAGAAAGTATCCAAGTTAATAACACCAATCTTTAATAGAAAACTTTCTATTCATATTAACCATATAAGTGAAAGATATAGGAGTGTGTGAATGTGCAGGTTTAGGACCAGATGGTCTTATCTTATCCATCTCCAAAGGATAAAGACCATGTCCATGTGAATTGCCTATGCCAAAATCACCACTATCAGGTGACCTTTTAACTCTTAACCATTATTTATATGTACTATTTACAAAGCTTTTTCCAACTTTAATAGGGCCAAAGATCATTATCCAATAATGTTCCCAAACATCTTCCAAGTTCTTGGGAAGGGTGCACTGGATACAAAACAAACCTTCAGCACTCCTTGCACAAAGTGGCTGCTCTTAGACAGAAACCCGTCTTCTCACACTTACCAGCCCAAGATTTTACAACTGCACCAAGAAATCCCCCCTCTCCATCCTTAGTATAACCAGTTTTTTTAATTGTTCAGTACAACTGTTTTTCTCTCAATGAAAATTAAAACAAATTCAAGCTGAATTTTTCCCCAAGTCTTGCATTTGCAGCTATTCATAGTCTGGTCCTTGTCCTTTACAACTAGACACCTGGAAAGTTATAGGGCCCCAAACCTAAGATATTCTCATAATGAGCATGTTTCAATGAAAACTTTTCTCATTCCAGATGTAAATGATTTTTTATGAAAATACCTTGGTTGGTTTTCCTGTCTCTGAGAATCAGCCCATAAACTTCCTTGCACTGCTCGAGTCACCTTCACCCAATGTAATGGCTTTAGTGAAGCTTTCTTAGGCGCACTAGCACCACCACGACCTCTACCCTGATTGGAAGCAGCCTGTCCTGATGAGGTTCTCCCCCTTCCAATAGATGGTGGTGGTGGGGGCGGTGCAGTAGAACTCCTTGTGCCAGGTGGTGGTGGCGGACCTGGGGGATTTCCATGAATTGGTGGTGGAGGAGGAACAACACCAGGAGGCTTTGGGGCTTGTGGTGGTGGTGGAGGAATTGGACCTTGCCGAGAAGGGCCAGAAGGAGGTGGGGGAGGAGGAGGGGGAGCCCCATGAATAGAACCATTAGGAGGCAATGGTGGAGGTGGGGGGGCATTACCTGATGAAGGGCAGAGACGTGGTGGTGGCGGTGGTGGCGGAGGTTGTCTAACATTGCCAGAACTAGAGGGAGCAGGAGGAGGAGGTGGTGGTGGTGGTGGTTGGCCTCTAGAATTAAGAGCAGGAGGAGGAGGTGGTGGTGGTGGTGGTTGGCCTCTAGAATTAATAGGTGGTGGTGGTGGTGGTGGTGGTGGTGGTGGGCCTCTAGAATGAATAGGTGGCGGTGGAGGAGGAGGAGGTGGAGGAGCTGCAGAACTAGTGGAATTAGGCAAAGGAGGTGGTAAAGGGGTTTTGGAAGAAGTAATGGGCGGAGGTAGAGGAGGTGGCGGAGGAGGGCTTCTAGTAGAGATAACAAGAGGGGGTGGTGGCGGTGGTGGCGGTGGTGGTGGTGGTTGGTCCCTACCAGAAGCAACTTGAGAAGGTAGAGGTGGAAGTGGTGGTGGTGGCGGTGGCGGTGGTGGTGGTGGTTGGTCCCTACCAGAAGCAACTTGAGAAGGTAGAGGTGGAAGTGGTGGTGGTGGTGGTGGAGGGCATGTGGTTGATGTTGAAAAAAAAGGAGGTGGTGGCAATGGAGGAGGTGGTAGTGGAACTCCTTTATTGGGAGTTGAAAAGGCAAGAGGTGGTGGCGGTGGTGGTGGTGGAGGAGGGGGAGGGGGAGGAAAAGGAAGCAATGAAGTTTCTGTACTTTGATCTGAAGGAAGATGTGATGATGCATCGCCAACGTTTTTAGACATTGGAGCTGAAACATGGGAAATAGTATCTTCTAGGGGCATAGCACCTTTTAATTCAATATCTTGAGCTAAAAGATTATCTTCTATAGCGCTTGTTGCAAATGGAGTATACATAGAATCCAACATGTTGGCATTCTTCAATGAGTCATTTTCTTCTTCAGATTCTGTAGATGATGTCTCAAAACTGACACCACTATTAACTCTTGACAAGACCTTCCCATCACTTAAGAGGAGTTCTTCAATTTTCTCTTGCAAAGCATTTGAAGAAATTTGCTTCAGAAACCACAAAGCAGCATCATCACTGTTATCAACCCATTCAACATCACTAAAAAGTTCTTGAACCCTAGAAAACGCTTCAATGGGCAATCCACCTTTCTCTTCACCATTTAAAGTGACAGTTGGAACCCTAGGGGGAGAAATACTCTCAACTTCACCAAAGAGAACCTAAAGTTACAAGCTTAAAATTAGAACAGCTAGCAGGCAAAATTTAACTACTTTAATATTGAATAATCCAACAAAACTTCAAAGAATTCACCTCAGCCTGAAAACCTTTTGGGTATCGCTCCTTGGAGTCCCAAAGAATATCCAAGTCCTCCCAATTCAGCATCAATATGTTGGATCTGATAAAAGCAGTATTGAACATCATTCGGAACATCATAACTTCCCTTTCTGGATCCAAGTCTAAGTGAAGACACTCCAAAACAACATCTCCTTGAACCAAACATTGGATGTCAATTTTAATTACATCACAGTCCACCTGCAACAAGAGACCATTTTATGCAAGCACCAGCTTATATTTCAAATGAAATGAAAAATTGCCTACCTGTTGGTAATGGCGGAGGGATTTATTTTTTTTGGACATAGAGAAAAGCATTTGGGTTGAAAGCCCATCCTTGCTGAGGAGATTTCGACCAAAAATGCGGATAATTGGCCTGCATCCATTCTCGGAGTCGAAACTTGGAATTGCTCGAAGAATGAGACAATCTAAAGAAAGAGCCCGCTCACTTGGTGGCCATTCTGGAGATATGTTTCTCCTCGCCACATAATGGAGGTAGCGTAGCTGAGATGGGAATGGGTTTAGAGGTGATAAAAGCTGTAATAGCCCTTTTGGAGCCTCCCGATGAACAATTTCAAGAATCTTATGCTCACCACTGTGGAATTTTCTGAAAATCAAAAAGCTAGCTAGGAGAAAAGCTAAGAGTGGCCAACCCCCTCTTTCACAGTGAAGCAGGATGATATTTTGATGATTCCCTAGAGATAGCCAACTCTCACAAACACGTAAGAAATGCTGTATCAAGGACAACGGAAGGAGAGGACAACCTTCGTATTGTCGTGGATAATCCATGACAGTGACATCGTACTCACACAGAATTTCTGCAAACTGACTTCTCTTCTCACCTTCACGGAAGTTAAAAGCAAGAAATGAAGATTCTGCATACACTTCATGTAGCTCAGTTATAATTTCATGCAAGTAAATTTGATACATTCCATCCGGCAAAGCCTCTGTTGAGAAGCAGGAATCAAAAACTGTACGTACACGCAAACAGACATAAACCCAGTGAGCAAGAAACATCAGTAAACTTGACCATACCTGAGATATTATGCTCCATATATTAAGATAAAAAGCAATATATAATAATGAAGATAATACTTTAAAAGGAGGGATGAAGCTCCTTACTATATACTCTGTCCACAAATTCCAGCAAGCCATCAGGAGGTCTTCTATAAAAGAATCGACTAAAGAGAGACATTATCTCGACAACAAAATGACAAATGAAAATGATGAAAGCCCGAGGAGGCTCTATATCACAATACAAATCATTTAATCTACGGCGTAGAGTAATTGAAGAACCTAATTCTCATTCCTGTCTATCCCATTCTGACAACCACATTAAATCATCGAAAAACCTGCGTGTGTAGAAATACATCGTTATTATTAAACGAACAAGTATATAAATCTTTAACGGAAATAACATTAGCAATGCCCAGTACATATTTGAAGCAAACATCACCGCGCATCCTCTTTAATTTAAGGGGAAAACAAGTAACAACTAAAGAAAACATAATTGAACCGAACAAATAAAATTAGGGTAAAGAAACGACATGAAAATGGGAAGCACCTGGTGTCTCCTGCAATCTACAGAAGTTACTGGGCCCAACCAAAGTGCAACAGCTCCAAAGTGACCTCACACACTCTTTGCAACTTTAGATAGCGGCCTGTTTCGTCCGGCAGGGGGAGGAATGTGGTTTAAGGGAATTAACGAATCAACCGTGGTGGCAAATAGCAATGGCAGCAGTGATGGCAATGAACGGTGGAAAAAAAATAAGAAGAGCAAGACACCCCACACTGATGTCGTTTAGTTTTCAAATGCAGAATGCCGAGTAACAGAATTAAATTACTTCAGCTTTCCTTGAATCTTCCTTCGAGAGGTTGTTCGTTGTTGCTGTTGCAGAACTCTAAATGAATCATAACATAACCTAATTTGCTCCTTTCACTTCATCGAGAGAAGAAATCGGTATAATCCGATCTTTATTTTAAATGGACGAATATTCAATTCAAATCACCACTCTCCAAGGGGGGAAGCATGCTTTAAGCAAAGGTTCAAACAAAGTATTCGTGATGCCAAAGCCTGAAAGCCAATTGTGTCATTGTGAGAGACACCGTCCTCACAGCCCTTGCGGCCGTGCATTGGGACTTAGGATAGGAACCTATCCGTTTCACACTGTTGTTGGTGTCCCGTCGTTGATCCGGCCGGTCGAACCGTTTTATTTATTTATTTTTTTTAAGAATTATCACCTTCACCTCAAAGCATGGTCCAATTTATCCCGAACCCGACCCGATATAATGTTAAAAATAAAAATATAAAAAAGAAGGTTGGTTGTGGGGGTATTCATGTAATCATGTTTGACGGTTTAGCCCATTAGTTTTACCAAAACAACTCAACCCAAACGGTTATGGGGTGTTCCTTTCGTCGTTCAAAACAAAGGTTTTTTGTATTTGATAAGTGATAATCATATCATCTTTTTTTTTTTAGAAATGAAAATATTGGTTTGAAACATCAAAGGCATTCTGCTATATATGATCGAGGCATGACTCTCGAACCGTTATTGACCCAGATGGTCAGACGGTTTGGCCTAGGAACCATCTAAGCAACAGTTCTATTTCACCCTTAACCCATATCTTGGCCAAAAATCATTGACTTGGTTAGCGATCCATTGATCCAGGTGGTTCAATCGTGAACTCATTTGACCTGAACAACAATTTCGGCCATTTTTATTTTAATTATTCTTTTAATTTTTTTAAACTATAATACGTTGTCCATTTGAACTAAACAGTCGAACCATTGACCCAAAAATCAATGGCTAAAGCGATTTTGATTTCGGGTCGATTTTAAAAACATTGGGTTATGGTTTATTCTAAATAACATGGGCTTTTTTTTACTTAATACATTGTCAACTCTTTTTTGTGTAAGTCACATGTATAGAAGCAATTAATTAATGCCATTCAACTTTGATCATACAATTATTTATTTATCATATGTAAATAATAATATATAGTATATTAAAAATCTAATATAATACGTTAATCAATATATACTTATATATTTTTTCATAAGCATAATATATATAATATAGGAATATGGTTTGAAATACACATAATCATTTAGCTATGTCAACCTTCTTCTTGAACTGTGTGATTGTGTTCAAAAATCCATCTTTTTATAGTGTTCAAAAAATGAGGGTTTTGCTAATTCTAAAACCATGATTTAGTGATTCTAGAACTGGCAATAAAATGAAAATGCCTTCTGAAATGCTAGTTGTGTTTGTGAATAAGATGAAACACGAACACAACCACAAAAAAAAACACCCTTAAATTAATCATTTGTTGTTCAAACCATTCACTTGGTCACACTTCAAAACTTCAAATAAATTGAAAAGCTGTTAACCATTAAACTATTATTTATTTTTTCATATGAAATCAATTTCATTCAATCATTCAAATATTCAATATACACTAGTTGTCATGCTAAATAATATCCCTTAGGAAAGGAGGAAGAGATTGAGCCACTTGGGCCAATGTATGCACAACAATATTGCCACCCCTTCCAATAAGAGACCTAAAATGCCTTGTATTTATAAGTGTTGGATGGAAAATTCAAAATATATGAATCTTTATCTCTTTCTCCTTTTTGGAAAGGACTCTGTCTTTTCTACTTTAGTCTTTTGTGAGTTTTGTCTTATTCTCTTGTCTTAGCCTCTTAAAGCATGTAAAAGTACATTGTTCCACATTTCTTAGGAAAAGAGGTGGAATTCAGTTTATAAAATGACTTTGCTATCCCTATGGGTTGGGATCCATTAGGGGAAAATACTATTACACCTTGAATCTAAGTCAAGACATGACAACCTCATACATTTAAAGAACATGCAAAATTATCATGTTTGAAAACAAAATGGAGATTTATAGAATAATATTTATTACCTCAAATAAAATTCTTCAAATACATTGAATAGTCCTTAAATCGAATATATTAAAAAAACCTTATATTAACACATGAGACCATAATTTCTATCCAGCCAATAATAACTTCAAAGAATGGTTCCTTTAAAACAATATAATAATTAATTAATTAAGGAAATCTAGTCCTTACTCCAAGATTAATGTGGTAATAAAACAAAATATCTACTCTCCCCACATCCAAGCAAATCTACAAGAAGTTACTCATTTGAAAATGTGGAAAAGAAAGGGTGAGTATACTAATTCCTTTATACAAAAAAATTGTTATGTGAAAATAATTCCTTTATTGTAAGACTTATATATGACTAATATACATTTAATTAAAGGTAGTCATAAATCCAAATATTTATTTTAAAAACTAAAAATACAACCATTTTAAACATAGTGGCAATGTCCAAAATCACACATGCCATGTGGTGAAAGCCCAAAACAGACTAGCCTACGATGCCATCATATTAATCCCTAATGGCGGGATCTAGAGCATAGTCACTTAACCATAGAGTACAAATAGATACAACAATCCATACATGGGTTTCAATAGCATATCTAACAATAATAGTCGAAAATATATCCAATTTAAATACTACAATTTCAAAAATGTCATTGGAACATTTCAAGAACAATGGAATATCAAACAAGTCATTTCAAACAATTCATAGTGTAACCAATGTAATTCAAAATCAAGTTGTCCAAAAATCTCGCTTATATTGTATAATTTTGTAAAGTCATGTATTTCCACTAAACTTGATCCTAATTTATGTAAGCATATAAAAAACATAACTAAGAAGGCACATCCTCTTTTATATTTAATTATAATTTACAAAATTAATTAGGGATATGCAAGGTCTCTTACCCAATATGCTAAATCCCAAGTACCCATTATATACCAAGTCAAAGTGTGTCTTGAAGACATATAAATAATAAATAATCAATCAACTAATTAATTAATAATTACCCATAATTTCAAAATTATTGATGTTATGTACACAATGCATATCCCTCTAGATTATTGCACAAACCCACTAAATCTAAACTCTAAAATGGCTTATCACCTTAGGCTTCTAGGTTTCTATAACTTTTAGTTTTTAGTTAACATGCTCTTGAGACCGACATCCCACATTTATAATTCACTCTCCAATGGTTTATGGATTTATCCTTCCAATATATATTCCTATAAATTTTTTAAACTACCCCTACTGTTTAGCTAATTAAATATTTGTATCCTTACCATTTAACTATTATCTTACACCACCCCTACTATTTCTAACAATTGACTAACTCTACCACTGTCATTAATATCCATTAATGTTCCCTTGACATCCATACACACATGACACCACGTGACCTATAAATTATCTTTAAAACCTAATTTTGCCCTTCATCCCTCTCTCTTCTTCTTCACAGTCCCTCTCCCCAACAACATCTACAACAAACCACTCCCTGACGACCGTAGGTGGTTGTTCAATCATTGTTTTGGTTTCAAGTAAGGGGTTTCTTCTGCTTTCTCCCCGCTCTTAGACACCCTCCACATTCGCCGAAAAGTAAAGTAATCAACCCTTTTGTCCCCAAACCCTATCTCCTTGTAGGTTTTTTTGTTTCCCGCACTAGTAGCTTCAATGGGCATAAACTATGGCCAGATCGCGAACAATCTTCTGTCTTCAAAAAATGTTCTTCTGCTACTCTAATCGATCGGTGTCAATAAAGTAAAGCTTTATGTTTCTTCAAAGACCATCGGATTTTTTTGGCATAAGTCCTTTCCAAAGGAGGTGGAGGATTGGAAGTTGTCTACAACTATGCTCTACAATTTTCAAAGATTGGAAGCTATAGAGCAGGTACGAAGGAACAGGGGAAGAGGGAGAGAGAGAGAGAGAGAGAGAGAGAGAACGGGAGTTGTGCTTGTACAACTTTGAATCAGGTATGGGAGTTGAGCCTGTTGTTGCTGCACTACAAACTGCTATGTGACTGAGGCAAGAGGGAGAGAGAGATCCATTGGAATTCATGAAGAAATGTTGATTACTACTACAGCGGTTCATAAAATGGCTGCAGTGTTGTAGAGGGAGAACAAGAGCTTTTGAATCTTTACGGATTTGATTTTTGGAGTTAGAAGTGTCGTTTAGGACAGGAACTTTTGAATCTTTACAGAGTTGGATTTTTGGAGTTAGAAGTGTCATTTAGGACATGGATTGGAATGGGTGAGGGTTTTCTTTGATTTTTTTTCTTCTTTGAATTTTTTTTAAATGCCATTTTGTTATGATAGTTCGAACGGCCGTTTGTCTTTGAGACACACATATAAAAGCACAACGATTGTAGACGCAGGTCTTCATGGCTACCAATGGTTAACGATGACTAAGTGACTGTTACTATTAACATTTACAGATGTATTGGAGTCAAGCAGCCGCCGTTCTGAAGTGGGATTGTTGTCGAAATCTCGCTCAGTATCATCTTTAGCGAAATGGGATTACTAATTTTGATCTAACAAAGTGGGTGGCCACCAACGATGTCGTGACGGAGATTGACGAACATGGGATCCCCTCCTTTCAAAGAGAGAAGACCAGCTTGACGGATTCGATGAAGGCCAGTCTAGGATGGTGCTCAGAAGTTGCAACTGCCGCCATCACCTACGATGATGATGGTGCTTGGTCTCTGTTTTTGGCGTTAAAACAAGGGATAAAAAGGTAAATTTAGCTCTAGTATTAAGTTCGAATTAAAGGGTAAAATGGACATTTCAACCTCTCCGTCCATATTTAATGATGCTCGTAAGACTTAGTCAATTATCGGGAAACAATAAGGGTAGTATTAGACAATTTTTAAACAGTAAGGGTAGTTTAACAAATTTACCTTAAATTATAATACAGAATCAAGTTTGACCCAAAAATGTCACAAAGAGACCATTTTCCGACCACCCAAAGTTGGTTGTCAACCAACTTATCTAGAATTCCCATATTCACCAAATTAAGTACCCAACTTCCTAGGCTTAGAACTTCCAGCTTGTTTATTCGTTATGCAAGTGTAACTTGTCATTACAAAGATCTCCTAACACACTATCAATTAAATGCAAACTTTAACCATTTTTATCATTGGAGAACCCTTTTTTAGTGGTCTAAAATTAGCTATTCACCATCCTTTTTGAATTTCCCAGGTTCAACATGTTTAGGATGAGATAATAACT